AATACCGATTTTCGCGCGAATCCATTGACAAACAATCGGTGTCAATTTTCGGTCATCTTGAATTTTAACCGAACGCCATTTTGAAACGGTTTGAGATATTGACTTCTGGTTTACCCGAAAAGTTTCCTTTTTTGATGCTCTTTCGAGCAATTTACAACAAAGGGGGTCTAATCAATTGAAAAAATAACTGGTTTCCATCCCCCCTCCCCCTTAAGAGTTCCCCGGAAAATTGTAGGGGGCCAGAAAGTAGCTCCCTTTGACCTAAGAACATCCCCCAAGTTCCAAATCTTTGCCTCAATTAGGTAAAACTATAGAGGGGATGGAAAGGACTTATGGATCACCCTGTATATCGCTCGAATTTCGCCATATTTATTGTGAAGTCAATTCCTTATATATTGACACATTTCTTATATATTGCACGATTTTCGCCATATATTTTGAAGTCGATTTCCTAAATATTGACACATTTCTTGTATATTGCGACAATTATATATATATATATATATTACGGTATTTAATTCCCGTGTTCTTTCAAATGCTTACATCGGCCATTTATCGGCCCAAAATATTTTTTATCCGTTTTATTTAATTTTTTCGTTAATGAGGAGGTTTTTTTCCCCCTACCATACTGCTTTTAAAGCCATAACTTAAGTCCTAGAGAATTTTAGGTTGTAGAATTGGATTCTACGGAAGAATTTACATAAGAATTAATACCTAGAAGACCTACATCCGAACAATTCAAATTTTGTATTATTGAGTGGATTAATTTGAGGTTTTTCGGCAGCCATCTTGCTTTGGAGCCAAAATTTCAGTCTTACAGAATTTTAGGTTGCAAAATCGGATTTTACGGGAGAATTTACATAAGAATTAATACCTAGAAGACCTACATCCGAAGAATTCAAATTTTGTATTATTGAGAGGATTATTTTGAGGTTTTTTGGCAGCCATCTTGTTTTTGAAGCCAAAATTTCAGTTCTAGGAAATTTTAGGTTGTAGAATTGGATTTTACGGGGAAAATTACATAGGAATTGACACCTCAAAGACCTGCATCCGTACAATTCAAATTTTGCATTATTGAGAGGATCATTTTGAGGTTTTTTCGGCAGTCATCTTGTTTTTGAGGCCAAAATTCCAATCATTGAGAATTTTTGGCTTCAGAATCGGATTCTACGGCAAAAATTACTTCAGAATCAACATCTTCCTGGGCCGATAATCCTTTTTTCATCGTTGTAACGATTTTTGTCCACATCGTCCATAAGCATGCCGCACTGTGCGGTCGTGAGGGAGCAACGAAATGCTTTGACTCTGTTTCCGTGCTGCGGTCCTCGATAGATGCGTCACGAGATGATCAATATTCATCTTATTCACTTGTATGGAGTAAGCGGTATACTCGATGACTTCGACTATTCACCACAACTTCATATGAGAATGTCCATGGTTGATGATTTCGATACTATACCACAGATAGAAACGTAACATATCAATAATCGATGGTATTT